TTTCATATTATCATTCATACATAAAATTTCATATTATCATTCATACATAAAAACATTATGTAAAAAAACAACAATCATAAATACACCATGACACCAATATTTCTTACACAGACACCAGGAGGCACGTGATAAAAAGATTTTCATGTGGTATGCAGTGCCTATTCTACAACAAATTAAACACTGAGGGCGCTATAACACAGGATGATCCAGGCATGTAGTTTGTCGCTTACTTTAGATTGTAGATTTCTGTTATAGGTGATAAACTTTTGTTTTTCTTCCACCCAGCCAGCATCTTTACCTTGGTCTTTAATCACCTTCTGAAAATCTTCAATCTTAGCTTGGCTATCGAGGAGGTCAAGTTCAAGTTGTTCTCGTAACTATTGTGAGAAAACATGAATAAAAAACAATATACATGTATATCATCTTCCAACTTAAGATGCAGTATCTGCACTGCCTTGAAAAACTTGCCAATCACAAACAGAATCCAGTCTGCATGCTTGTTTCAATGATTCTACTGTAACCCAGCATTTTATATGGGGTCCAAAACTGAGTACAAAACTGATTTTGAGATTTTCTATAAAAATACTATACCGAATTGACTGTAATTTTAGCAAATTTAATAAGTAAGGGAATATTTTCCTGGAGTCTTAAGATGGAGTCACAATGATTTTTGCAAAATTTCATTCTCAGTAACACTCTAAACAAGTTACCAGTTTGAAATTCAAGATGCATAATAAATCATTAAAATATGACTTATTTTGGCTATAGATAAAGCTTTTTCATGACATTTTAACAGGAATCCAAAAGTTTATTAAACTGGCAGCTGAAAATATAATATTTAAACTGACCCCCTTGGTAAGCCGCGCCTCAGTAAGTCACGGTTTAGGCTAAGTCGTGGGTAGTTGGTTGGCTCCCAGCAATTCTTTTGTGTGTTTCAGGCAGTTTTGAAGTAAAAGAAATAATGTTTTGTTGCATGTGTATTTAATTGGCCTTTAAAGGGCTGGAAGAGACAACTTAACACCTACTGGCTGTCAATCCTCGGGGGCGGAGCTACGTCACGGACGTTCTACGTTGCTAAGACGCGCACCACTGTACCATGTATTTCTATGGGCTTTGTGCGCGCTGCTGTGGAACGCCGATGGAGCCGGTGAAAACTCAAGAAAACAACACAAACTCAACTTTGAAGTAATCCTGAACAACCAAATTCATATATGTTACACACGTAGGGCTAATCTTGTTACACTGTTCAGGGGACTCTCAACAACCATCGCAAAGTACCGTTTTCTGCGAGTTTTTGGTCTTTGTTTTCACCGCGAGGGTTGCCAGGCGGTAGAAAATGCCCGGATGTCCGCCCCCGAGGATTACAAAGGGTCATACAAAGGGTGATGGCAGTCTGACTCAAGGTGTCAGCAGGGTATGAACCCTGGGGTATGATGTCACGATTTTATGTACGTCTCAGCTATTCCCCTTTGATAAAGCTCTATAAAATTTGCTGCAATGAGTTGAATCCATGTACACATGGACGCTATGATGTCGTCCAATAAAGAAAACGTACAGTACTATAAATAAACCCATGTGTGTACGGTATATGTGCTTTTTATCCATTTTCAATGCATAAACCCCCTTTCACGAGATCCTCAATAATTTGCGTCTTTTTTGCTTGGATCCCGAAACCTGTGACTTAGCGAGGGGCTACTGTATATGTCCCTGAGAACCTCCAATCATAGCCTGTAGCTGGGTAGCCTGGTTTTGTGGGTCTTTTGGCCCTCTCCACACTCGTCTGGAAACGTTTTGCTCATTAAACATGCTACTTTATTTCAACAGTCACACTTTTGTCTCTGTCCAGTTAGTATCAGTTATAATCATGTGGTGAAAACATACACTGTCATCCATTGTTTGGAAAATTAGCGTACTACCGATAGTATTCAGATTAGCAGCATGCTGTATTTATCAATCAACATCACAGTCACCAACTGATCATATAAGCCAAAAGTTTTTCCAGACTTGTATTGAAAAGGCTAAAGGCCCCACAAAATAATAGGAAGGTGACCACACTAGTAGCTGCATGTATGCTTTCTTACCTTAAATTCTCGCTGTACATCAAGAGAACCTCCAACCATAGCCTGCAGCTGTGTGTATGCTTTCTTTAGCTGCAAATATTCTTTGGAGAGCTGTTGGTAATTCCCTTCCATTTCTGCTCTCTCAAATTCATCCCATTCCCCAGAGATGCTATTATCTGATCTCTGGGAAATGGATGATGTTATAGACGCTGTATCCAGTCCGATTTCATCTTCAAGGCCTTTGGGAGACTCTAAGATTCCTGATTGTCGCCTCCTTGCTTTTCGTCTTCGATGTTGTATCAAGTCGAGTCTCCTATCTTTTTCCTACAAGAATGAGATTTTACAAATAAAGTTCATTCTCCATTTTAATAAAGATCATGCCATGGTCAGACAAAAATTAAATAGTGAACATATAGATAGCCAGGCAATAGGCAATGTTTTGCTAGTATCGCTATGTTTGATTTTTTGCCTACCATGTATTTTTGTCAGGCCAGAATTATAGTAGACACTTTCTATAAAATGAGCCCCCACCTCCCCCATGATCCAAATCTCATGCATACTTACGATGATCTGATTTTTCAACTCTGTTATAGTTTTAAAATTATCATCCATAATCTTTTTGAATTTCTCCGCCTCACTGTTATCACTGCTGTCTGTACTTGATGATCTCCGTGATCCATACCCGACCGATTCCTGCCTCCTGATGGGGAGTTTACTTAGAGAGATCTGTTAACAAACAAATATTAATCAATATTATATAAACCAAAGGTAAATAAATGTAAGGGCTTGCAATGTCCAAAATCATAAATGGAAACACGTGATGGAGATCTCAAAGAAGTCAAACTCCCAATAAAGAGTAGATAACTGCAAGGGCATGTTCACCTTTTTCTTGTTTTCTTCATTCAAGGTTTTACACGTGTTTTCCAGCCTCTTTTTATCGTGTTCTAAATCTTCTATTATTTTGTTTAATTTGTTTCTCTCTGATGTAAAATCTGCGTTCTTAAGTTTCCCTTCCTGTATGGAGAAATTAGGGATATGTACAGTAAATTCCACAAGTTTGACATTAAAAGGTAAATAAAAATCTTCACAAAAAATACAACTTTACAAAACTTGATAGGAACTTTAATTTCCGTTTCCGTTTTGCTCTATAAGAAGCACATTTCCAAATGACATAAAGTGAAATAAACGTAAACCAATTCAAAGCGTTGGTCATCTCTGCATCATGTATGACATGGTCCCATGTGATGTATACATGTATAACACACATGTATAACAAACACATGTAGAACACAATGACAGTGGTAATTAATAATTTTAATAATAATTGCAATCAGGTAAACATTTATTGGTAAGTGAATTGTTCAATTGATATATGGGTGGCCGACAGACACTATCGTGCAACAACCATTACCGTAAAAATTCTAAAATTTCGGCCCCTCTAAAAATTCGCCTTTTCTCACAAACGAGAAAAAAATCACCTGGTTGCATAGTTTATTCATGGAACGAAGTTCAAACATGGCCTGGTTATTCAGCATAATATTCTGTGCATAAAGAGCTCAACCTGTTACTGATCGCATGCCCTTGTACAGAAGCTCGAGTTTGTTTTGCTCGCCACGGTGTAAAACACTCTTCACTTCTTTTATTTTTCGTACTATTTTTATTTTTCGCATTTCAACGACTATCTTATTTATTATTGTATTGTATTCCTCACACAACCCTACCTTTGATAACTGCATACATTACACTCAACATACAGGGATACAAGACTCATCGATTAAAGCATTAATTAGTTGTAACAACACAGAATCATGCAATACATTATAAAACATATCACAGGAACAAATCTATACAAACTGAACATGGACAACAGTATGAACAGTCTTTTTAAATATTGTGTGATTGTTGTTATGCTACCGGTAGTTTATAAACTATTGTTACTTTTGATATTCTTTTGATATTCTAAACGAGATAAATTTGTGTGAATTTTATATTGAAAAATTTTGTAGCTGACACCATTCCTCTCGCATTCCTTATCAGTGTACCTTCTGAAAGGACTGCTTTTCTAGTCAAGTAGGAAAGCAGGAATCCTAAACTTTAAGTTGGGTCAGTTTTGACTGCTGGGGAGAAATGTCTTCAAGAAAACTTGCATGAAGCTGTAAATGACTTCTGAAGGCACTGTGTTGTTGTGACAACAGATTTCTATTGTTTTCACACTTATTTTTTTTATAAAATTCATCAGTAAGATATTTTTCAGGGTAATTTTTTCATAGAGAATTGTCAACTGGCACTGTTACGAAAAATTTCTGCGTGACAGTGGCTTAGAGGTCATACTGAGTCCTTATATTACAGCAAGTGACAGTGACAGCTGTCCTTGTATATGCTCTTAAATTATCAACTTGCGAACATTTCTTGAACTGAACTTGAACGGCACATGTACATTCTCCTGGTCACAAAAGTCAGGCCAAGACGCTTAAAGAATATTTTTATGATTTATAATAGGGCATTACTAGTAATTCATTTCTTTATTGATTAAACATTATTGTAGTATAAAGTTTTACTGATTATTAATCAAAATAATTAAATTGATTAATACTAAATGTGCAATTCTCCAATATTCTAGACATACCAACGCTTCTTTCGCTCTTTGTAATTTACTGTTCTCGTCTTCTAAGCGTCGGACAAGATGCACTAACTCAGACAGCCTGCAGTGAAAACGCTCTCTCTCAAAATCTTCCAAGGCCTGCGCATCCTGAATGAGTCACCATATAAGGAGATTAGATGAAACGTCTAGTTCTTGAAACATGAGTGCATGCTATGTAATGTTTGGAGGTGATCGTGGTCTTTAACATTTGGAAATAAAAAGTTATGTTTCTGTTCAACAGAGTCCAGCTTAGCAAGAGAGCGCCCTCTATAGATGATTCTCTTTAAACATCGGAGTCAAAGAAAGCTGCATATATTTTCAAATTTTTATCATTTTTTTCAAGACTTGTAGCTAAAGACAAATTTTGATTGATAACAATGAAATTATAGACAAATGTTGTGAAATTTTGGCTAGAAATTTATGTTTTCTAAAGAGTTTAATCAGTCATATGGGTAATTGAAAAACTAAAATTGCTGGAGATTTCATTATAAAAATATACAGAAGTATATTGTTCTGTTTTTTTATCATACTGCTTTTTTAATAAAATCCTTGAAAGATGCGAACAAGCTGAAACATTATATTTAATTAAATACCACCTTCAATAGTATCAATTATGTCTGCTAGAAAATAGATGAAATTTTTTAAGCACTAAAAAGCTGAATTATTTGAATTATTAAAGGGCAAGAGGTGAAGGTGCATTTTAGCATTAGGGACATTAACCTTTATAATGTGCATTTTGTAATGTGTATATGAACTATCTTATTATTTAGCGGCATATAGCAATATATAGTTCTTAAGGTGATTTTAACCAAATAGTTGGTAACATGGAAATAAGTGTGAGAAGAAATCAGTATTTTAGTTAAAGTTTTTTGGATCAACACACACAGTCTCTACTGTATACAGTTTGTATACAATTAAATGTATACAAACAGCAACATATTGTATGTTAACTGTCCTTAAGAAACATACTTTGGAAACACACAGTGAGAGTTTTTAGCTGCTAGATTTGAATAATGCAATGTTGTGACATATTTAGTGAAGTAATAGGTGTAACATGTAACTGGGGGTAATACATGTAACATAGATAGTGGTGTAATAGGTGTAACATGTAACTGGGGTAATACATGTAACATAGGTAGTGGTGTAATAGGTGTAACATGTAACTGGGGTAATACATGTAACATAGGTAGTGATGTAATAGGTGTAACATGTAACTGGGGTAATACATGTAACATAGGTAGTGGTGTAATAGGTGTAACATGTAACTGGGGGTAATACATGTAACATAGGTAGTGATGTAATAGGTGTGACATGAATAATGAGTAATACATGTAACATAGAAGGTTATGTACTACGTAATGTAGTGATGTAATATGAGTATATGTAGTGATAACGTGATGTACAACATAATTGGTAATATGTGCAACATAATGTAGTGATGAAATATGAGTAATATATGTAATATGTACATGTATTAGTAATATATAGTAATGTAATACATGTAACATGTGATGTACAACATAATTGGTAATATGTGCAATATAATGTAGTGATGTAATGCATATAACATGAATAATTGAGTACATGTAACATATGTAATGATGTAACAAGTAACATGTAATACATGCAACATACAGGAACTGAAAAATACAAAATATAACATTAAAGCATGCAAAACAACAATAAACAGTAACAGTATAATGTAATAGTATATTTAAGTTTCTCTGACACAGGTTAAAATAAATCACTCCAAGCGCCAACATACTGCACAATTATACCACCAGCAAAAGTTCAGAAAGGATTTATGAAAAAGTGGTTCACTATATATATTCAGTAGACAAAGTTTGCCGACATAAAAAATTCTACCGTACTTATTTTTACCCAAGCTTTCACCCCTACATCTCTAATGGTATAACCTATAAGATGAGGCCAAATCAATATTTTAGTTTTGAATTAAATGTATTATTCATTCTTTAAGTACACCATTTTTCATATGTGTACATTTGCAGACTCTCATTCGTACAAATATATTTAATATGTTTAAAAGGGCATATGCTTGATTCTCTTGCTGTCTAGGTGATGTCTGCATTTCATTTCTGTGTATTAATTTGATACCACAAAGGGCATTTCATCTCAGTTATAAATAGATTTAAAAATATGGAAATATTGTCAAAAAACACAACGCATGCCCTGTTTTTATCAGGTTCTGAGGAATTGGAATGCAAAGTAAAATAAAAGGAATGCATCAAGTTATTTTTTTAACTAATTTATACGATGCACACAATCGCAAAAAAAATTCTTGCCCAATATAGCAATCTCATAAATTCTGAGTTATTAAAAAAGTTTTCATGTTATATATATTGGTTAAATATTTCAATCTTCATATCAGTATATTCTTATGACATAGTTCGTGGTTTTCGCTTTCTGCTGATACTTACAGGAGTCAGTCTGCCAAGTGCTGGTGGTCTCGGACTTGGTATTGATCTTGGTGTACCAGGTCTAGGACTGGTAGGTGGGGATTTGGATCGCGGACTACAGATGCCAGGTGTACTGCTTCTTTCCCAAGTGTCTGCCATTTTCATAATATTACTCAATTCGTCTTTCAACGATTCCTTTTCCGCCTGTAATTTCCGAGAGTGTCCACTGTGATGGCCAACTTCTTTCTCCAATTCGCCAACGAGTTTTTCTTTCTTTTTCAACTCATCAACCTAATAAGAAAAATCAAATTATGACAGAGTGAACAGTAGGTCTTAAATCAATAGACCATTTTGTCGTTCACTGTGAGATTCCGTGTTTTGCATGAAAACGATCGTAAAAACAAACAAAGGTCATAGTGGCGTCAAACATCGCGTGGGATTCAACAAACACAAACCTATTTTGGGGGATATTTCCATGCTTAATAATGTGCTGTACACACTTGATGATGGTCAATTTTGTAAGTAAGGGTATCTAAATGCGATATTCGCAAAATTTGAGCTATTCAATTTTTCTCGCAGACATTCGGTCCGCGACTATCACGCAAAAAGTGAGATTTTGCAGTTGAATGAAAAATTACCTATTGTAACGGGTATCACGGTCTCTGATTATATAGTGGCTGATTGAAAGTAGTGTAGCTAGATTATTTGTTGCTGTATATGTGCATCACACACACATAGTACACCTTTACAATATTCAATATACTGTTCATCTCTGCCATAAATTCAGTGTTATTTCACAGTAATGTTTTAAAGCACTACCAAAGTCGATGTGTAAACAAACAAACAGTACATTTCATATGATGTGCTGTACATGTCATACGAGACCCATATCGAACAGAAAGCAGTGGCGCTTTGACATTAAAGCTTGGTTAAAGCTATGTCAACCACACACCTGAGCATTTGAAGGGATTGTCACTTCATGTTATATCATGGCACAAACTAATCTTGAATCCTGCAGACACAAATTATTGGGTTTCTTACAGACAAAATTCAAGCTTCACCCTGTGGTTTATATACCATAACCATCATGTGACCATGGTTGTTGGCATATACAAATTGCCACTGTGAATATGAGTAGCTTAATTTGTAGACAATTTGTCTCATATTTAGATTTGTCAATACCTTGATCTCATATACCAGGTTACGGTATATAACCACGAATAATTCTCGAATGGCCATTGGCCAATCCAAGGCAGTTGTAGTACAATTTTACTGAATGCATATACCGTACTGGACCACATTAGCGCCCAGTGTCCTCAACTCAACAACAACAATTTTGTAAATCATAATAGACAACATTAATGCATGAACCTTGTATATGTACATAGATTTAATAATATCTTCTTGTGGATGGTATGGTAGATCAAGCATGCTCTTGGTGGCAGTTTAGAACATTGATAGACACAGAAAAGTATTGGTCCTAAAATAACTTAAGTAATATGTACAAAATATATTTTAAAAATACATAAAAATACACTCTGTAATGCCTATGTAAACATGTATGCAAGTACTGTAAAATCTGTATTAAAAGCTGCGGCTTCTATTAAAATGGTACAATGCAACAGAGGAGACGCGGCTTCTATTAGAGCATCTACACATATGCGACCTGGTGAATTTTTGGGTCTCGATTGTTCAAAAAGAATGGGTGCGGCTTCTATTGGGGATGCGGCTTCTAATACAGATTTTACAGTACTTTTTTTTTTAGAAATAAGCATGGTTACTAACTGTGAAATAATCTGACAGCCATAAAGGTCTGCATGTAATTTATGTAAATCACTGAGTAGCGTTGAATATATTTTTGGTTGGTTAACAAATATTAATTAAAAATTATTTAAAAAACTATCAGTGGATTAAACATGGCATGGTTAAACCTAATCCTAATAACAAAGAATCACTGATACTTCAATGTTACATGCGTACAGCCACACAGATTTAACCCATGTAGTCAAATTCAAACCTTGACTTATTTTGCTTATACATGTACATGTATCTGCTCTATTTGAAAATAACTCAGATCACAAGCTGTGTTGTGGTAAATACAAATTATGAAAATTAAATAGTTGGATTTGAATACTTAACCCATACACACATATAGTAATTGGAATCCTAGTGAATGTTGTACACATGTAGAGAGCACATAAATTAATTGAATATTTGGTGTTATAAAATAGAAGAGAGGACAGGAATATGCGAATTAAAATTGTTTTTAGCGATATTTATGATACACATGGTTATAGTTTTTCTACCATAATACTTTTTTGTTGTTGTAAAAATACATTAACTAAATCCATATATATGCAGGTTTAAAAATAAAATGTGGCATATTTATGATGAAGGTATACAACATTTACAATCCATCCTACCCCATGTCTCCTTAACCTTACCCAATCATAGCTGTATAAAGTCTAATAATTATTATGGCCCAATTATCCAAAACATATTGAACAGGTTAATTGAACACATCGATAAAAACAAAAACAATCAGGTAGCATATGTAGCCCATTACTCCACTGATGAGGGGTTGTCCTAATTTTAATATCCCATTCACACTTATTCTAAACCTATAATTTATTCGACAAATGGCGTTAAAATTACCATACATTTTTTTTCTAAACATTTCCTCGCTTATATTACAAAGCATGGTTACAGCAGGTAGACGTTTTTGTGAATGAATGAATGAATGAATGAATGAATGAACAGTACTCACAATTAAAGTCCTGTTTCACAACACGGATTAAAAGGAATGACTGCAAACGCATAAGTCATGTAATTTTTATAAAAAAATATAATATTAATATATACGGTAACTACAAATGAATGACTCATGTTGGGAGTTCCCATTTTTTTTTTCACTGAACACAATGGACTGACTGTATTTTACGGCTGAACTCAAAGTAAAACAAAATTCGATATAACTATTTGAACGGATTGTATCAAAACATTTCTGCAGGCCAATCCATGTCAACAATCGAGGAGTAATTTGCATAGCAAAGAAATACACTGGAAAATACAAGTGTGGAACCATTTGGTGGTAATTCCTTTGTATGTATTTACAGTATTTTAAAAATCTCATGCGGCGAATATATCCACTTTATTGCAGTTTCTATGGCGATGTGGGTCATTATCAAAAATTAAAATTTATTTCTTTTTATACTGGTGCTCACAACACCACCACCATGTGGTCAGTATTAACATTGGGAAAGGCCAATAGCAAATTTAGGTATCATACTAGTTCAAAAACACTTCAAAATATTAGTGTTTTCATTAGAAATCAATATTAAATCAAATATTATTCGAAAAAAATTGTAATATCAACAAATCTCAATTTTGGGAGATTTTTCGCAAAATGGAATGTTTTATTTTAACAAGAAGTTTATAATCATGTCACTAAGGCTTAACACTTCACACATAAAAGACGACTTTTTTCACTTTTCAAAAAAATATTGTTTAAAAATTGGCAAATTATTTGGGGTCTAAAATTATAGAAAAATACCGAAAAATGTGCAATGAGTCACACAAAATTATACACTTTATATACACTTTGATAGAAGGAATTCGTTTTAATAACAGTCTATGATTTATATAATTAAGGTCAGAAGGGAATGGGATTATAATGAGATTGGATTATACCTTGAAGATATTACCTACAGACAAATAGAAGAGTGATGAATGAAAATGGTTAAATGCATACATGACTGTTTCACAACAATCAATATTTATTAATAATATGCGTAATCATTTCCAGAAAAAATACATTTCAACTGAATTGAGAATTTGTTTTTGTTTTTAATTGAGATTTTTAGATTTTTCTTGCAATTATATAATTGTTTTGAAATCTTCATTTGTTAGAATGACCATTTTAGGCTTCTTTCACTAGGAGATATTATGTGTTCATAATTGTTATTATATTGATTGTGAAAATATTATTTGAAAGGAATCCAGTTTTCTCAGCATATTGTAAAAAATGAAATCCAATTTGATGAATAATGGAGTTACAGAAATAACAGTACATGTAAGCTACTGTTGTTTTCCACCTAAACACTGGTGGCTGGCTATGTGAGGTACATGTAAACAAACCAGTGTATTATTATGTACACACTAATTCTTTCTGATAACATTGTTAAAGCTTTCACTGAACTGAACCTATTTAATTTATAATAATTCCCGACGATTTTTTTCATCCAAACTAAAACATTTAGTGAACAGAACAAACGATTAAAACAAAAAATCTAACAGTCCAGGCCAAATTGGTTCAAGGTAATATTTTGGTTTTAATTTTGCTCTTGTATGTTGTGACATGTCCTGACACCTGTTACACTTCACTGCACTACTAACCGGATACAGACATTACTATAAAAGCTAACCAAGAATACTGTCCCATTATTTCACCATAATAGCCACATAAACAATACTGTATTGTACTACAAACAATGGTTTAAATGTCAACACAAATACTGTGCTTAGTTTTGCTGGAGTTTTTTGTTAAGTTGTTTTGCATGGTGTATTTATATCAGCGTGACGTAAAATTAGAAAGAAAACAAAATTGTTAATGTTACTAAATTTTATTTTTGTTGATTTACACTCCAAGGGAAATGTTTAAATTTTTTAGTGTAAAAACTGAAAGGAGTAAATACAGTTACCTTGGGACGGTAACGACACGAATAGGATTTAAACACGGATTAAAATCTCTGGTGTTATACATTTTATAGCTTTTTCATCACCCAGAGTAAACTCACAAAAGTCTACACTGTACATAATAATAATTATGGTATTTAGAATTCAAACTCACCTCCACGAACCATACAAATATGAAGGAACCAGCTGAAAATATGTACACAGTAAAAACATGGTTCTATTCAACCATTAGCAGAAAACGACCCACGCAGATCAGCCATCGTTCGGTGACCGTTAATTCTATGATTCAAATATCCCACTTGACTGAATGTTATCAGAGTACAATCTCAGAAACCCAGATAAACCAAGGTTGGACACTGTTGCATTACAGCGTTTCTCTGTGTGTACACCAAGTACGTGTTTGATATGGTAGACCGATCGACAAACAATAGACTGGAGTGGATACCATGTGAAATCAAACACCATTCATGAATGAGTTTAGTAAGGTCAGAGGTCAAAGAGCATGCACACTCAGGTAAAATGTCTACTGTATTTTTGTAAAAAAAAAAGAGAAACCTTTATATTTTGATATCAATATGTATTACATGTGTGTAACA